CCAAGTCATCCTGCCTTCATATGAAATAAATGAGGATGGATATGTCGTACCACTGGCTCTCCCTTCTGAAATCCGACATGCTATTTCGTCGGTGAAGAATCGAACACCACCAGGTCCGGACAGTATGAGATCTGAACACCTGAAGAACATTCCGCCAGTCCTCATCAACCAACCGGCTCTGCTCTTCACATACAACTTGTCAAAATTCAAGGATCCTATTCATTAGAAGACCAGCAAGGTCGTGTTCTTGTTCAAGAAGGGCGACCTCTACAATATCAGCAACTATTGCTCAATCTGCTTGCTTTCTTCCGTCTAGAAACTGCTCACCGGAGTCGTCCTAAACAGGATTGACAAAACATTGGAAGAAAGGTTTCGAGAATCCGTGTTGCGCTATCCGGCTAGATGTTGTGAACGCATTATATTTCGGAATACACTGTTCAATCGCTCTATAAGCAGTGTTCAGTATTCTTGACGTGGTCGAAGAATCATCCTACATTTTTGCTGCATATTAGAGCGCTGGGAGGACTGATGAGTTGAAAACACGAGCGCTAGGCTAGTTGGTTGGCGCCTTCTTTGAGAGGCGTGGATGCGACCTATGCGTTACCCTTCCTTGTGTATAAATCGTCTTCTATGTTGTTGCTCATGTTGATCAAACGAAACTCGACGACCAGAGGGCAAAATCTTGAACAATTTTGCGCCGGAGGGATTTAGGAGTTTAAGAAAGGGATTACAAAACAGGAAAAAATTGGAATAAAACTTTTCCGTGATCAATTCCATACCATCTAAGGATGTGGAGATAGTCCCATCTTACATCATCAGGGCAGACAGTTGAACATCATACCAGCGCAAATTCGGACGGTATTTCATGAGAAGGTTTGTATCATTGTTCCTTTCAAATGTTTCCTCAGCCTGTACCGATGTAGCTCTTTCTGAAAAGCACTTCTGGAACTGGCATCTATAATACCAGGCGTGTTAAAAGTGTTGCACTACGACACATTGTAACAGTATTTCAAAAACCGACTTTCCTTTAACCTCGGTAGGATTAATCAACATGTGCTTAAATTGTTGAGCGCATATGAGGTTGTTAAATTACCTTTATTCGGCTAACAGGCTAACAATTCATTCAACGTCCTAATCTTCATCTTGCGATGCGATGAGAAGAGCATGACTGGGTGAGTACGCCTCATTCGAGAGATGCTGCAATGAAGACCCGACTTAATATGAAAATGAAGGCTCAACGTCGGAAAGATGAACAACTGTGGACCATCGACTCGGATCATCGGCTCTGAGGAAGACGAAGATGTCGAAACGATAGCCGAGCAAACATCTTTAGCAACCTCGTGCAAGCTCAGCAATTTAAACATATGTCGCAGCAGAATTCCTTCTTTAGCTTCCTTCTCTTCTTGAGCAATTCCTTAGTGGTAATAATGGAGAAGAGATCTGACTTCCTTGTTGAGGCACTGAGGTGAATTCGGCACAACTTTTAAGTCCTTCGACAAGCAGGTCGTATTCTTCGGTTGGTTCTTCTTTAATCTGCCAGACACATTTGGATAGGAGTTCGTTCAGAATGTTCCCGTCGTGTACACATGGACTTCTCCTCGGTCGATGAAATTAATTCTTTTCCTGTTTACGGTTGAATTGAATCTTCAGGCAAAGAAGGCGATGATCGGATCTAGCACAGAACCCAGCTTCTACTGCAGTTTCAAAGAGACACCGTTTTCTATTCGTCAGAATATTGTCGATCTCCACAGAAGTTGTGCAGGTATTATACCCTAATGTCCATTAGCTAACTGCTCCCTTCTCGAAAAATGAATCACCATAGTAGACTTGATGTATACAGCGGCTCTGCAAGACAGTTCCTATTCTCACTTAGATCTCCTAATGTGAATTTTACTTGATACTTGATACTTGAACGGCCCGTCTTCACTGGTTGTGCAGGCCCCAGCATAATCACCACTTTTAGGAGATTTACTGGTTAAGCCATTGTGGTCCCTAGGAATCCCGAGGTCAGCCTGGCTAAAGTCTGCCCCAGCTCTTCACCACCACGGGCAGTCGCAGCCCTTGTGGATCAAAGGCAGTCTTCCTGATGGAAACGCAGCTTGGGAAACCTCGCCGGGAGACGAATCCCCCCCGTTGTACATCGCAGTCCGACACCCAAGAACACCTCCCAGCCACGATGAGGCGGTAAACCGTTGGGAGGATGTGAATTTTATCACTGTATCTGTATTCAATTTTGTTGATGCTTCCTATTCTGACACCAACAACGGATTCATAAAAAGACTTCTCCTTGAGGTCTACTTGCTTCAGTGGTCAATTTTATTATATTTTACATTTCACATAACCCCTAATCACATCTGCGGTACGGATCCCAGCACTCATTGCGCACGATTCGTTTTCCTCGCACCCCTTCGCGTGTGGCTTCGACTGCTGGGCTGGTCGAGCCGATTCTCCTTGCAATCTTGAAAAAAGGCAAGCTAAGGCGTTCCCACGTGGATTGGTAGAAAACGCTGGGAAAGGGACGAACAAGCGTCTTTGCTTCCTTATCGACACCATCACTAACCACTACGTTACCCCGTTCCTCCCTTCACTAATCAATGATTATATTAGCAGGATACAAAGAAAGAAGCTTGACAGGGCAATACAATCTCAGCAAAATTATTTACTGCTATCCTCGATAAGGTCAACTGAAGATTCAGAGAGGACAATATGGGAGTGAAAGTATATGGTCGGGAATTCCACAATCTTTGTTTTGCTGATGATGTCGTTTTTACAACACCAGATATTAGTTAAGCAGAACGAATGTGGCCATCTTTGACAATGCTTGTGGGAACTGGTCTTCGAATAAATCACATTTTCGAACTCTCCCTATGTGTTCTGTGTCGAGAAGTCAATATGATCAACGACCTAGCTCCAGAGTTGAGCAGAAAATAAATGACTTAAGAAGCTTTAGACAGCGCGAAACTACCGGCCCTAACATACGGTATCGGAAACCTGGTCGCTACATTAGCAGAATGAAAAATCGTTCCGAGTTATTGACAGCAGTCGAGAAGACAATACTGGGTGTATCACAAACCACGTGAGAGAAAGAGATAGAGTGAGTGAGAATGAGAGAGAAAGAGAGAGAGAGAGAGAATCCCACGTTTCCATTTGCATCAACACCAACAAATACCAGACACTGATATGCACACCAGAATTTTTAATGTCAGGTCGGCTGGACATGCGATGCGTCTGAACGACAACCGGCGGACAACAGCCGTTAGCGATTGGGTAACTCGCGATGTTAGATGTATAGCAGAAAGAGCACCGACCCTATGGTAACAGCTTTTCATGAAAAGCATGGAAGCAAATTGTGATGCTCAGCGAGCGCTTACAACGAGCAGAACCCATCTAACCAGTATACACGACAGGGACAAATGGAAAAATTACTTACTCCCGTTCCAATCAATCGATGATTAACCTCACGCTGAACACCTCAAAACTGGTGCTGAGTGCCGATTCAAGGAGAACGTCGAAGATTATGAGGAACACCACAAAACTCATATGGAATACCATTAAATTCATGTGACGTACAGCCAGACTAATGCGGAACACCGCGGAATACATACGAGACACCACTATATCTTAGCAGGCTCCTGATCTGCGATAATAGTACTATCTCTATGACACTATTATTGACCAGTAACAACCCATACAGCCAGACGAATACACTCGTAAAAAAGTTTTTCGTTTGTAAATATAGAAAATATCGCTATAAAAAAATTTTAGGTAGCTTTTAATGGACGAGGTCAAACAGAACACCTATATTCATAGACAGTCAATACGTATAGGCAAACAGAAAAATTTTATGCGGTGAAATAAACGAGCAGACATGAAGTGAGACACACATGAATTATCTCAAACAATCCGTCTCCTTCATGCACGAATCATATAAGACTCATGCTGGAAATGCATTATGCCAATCTGACCATATTAAAAGGATCGAAACAAAACAAATGAAATTATAGGACTATGATACGACGTAGGAAGGTAAACATACTTGTTCACTTCAGGAGGCGGAAAAGGTGGTTTCGAAATTTCTGCAGACTCCATGAAAGAGGAGTTCAGACTCAAGGAAGCCGGATTAAAATAAATGTAGTGGAAGTCGAGAGTGGAAGGCATGTCAGGATTTTGCCCACCAACACTGAAATTGTCTCCAGGGATTCTGAATTCTTATATAGCGTTGCTGCGAGACTTCAGTAGAAATAACTATTAAAAAGAATATTGGGCAAAATGAATATTGGCAACGTTTATAAATACAATAAGAGCAATAAAAGATAAAATTCAAAACACAGATGAACACTAATGGAAAATTCCTTTAATGCGCTTTACATTTACTCCACAACGAGCTGAGTAAACAACGAAAGGATGAACAATTGTAACTGAAACGGAATAATTCTACTCTTTTATTTGAACAGAATGATTAGAATCTTCATCACTGAAAAAAGAGAAAAGAGTGAATTAGATGAGTAGAAGATGAAAAGAGGACTTTAGGCCTATTCTATTCTACAGATTATATCTAAATTTGCATACTTCTCTAACCTACAAGTTCCGCTAAAGCAAAAGAAATCAATTCAAACGAGATCAACGGTGGCCTTAGTTATGTTCGGAGCGCGTGTGGTGCAGTGATCAGAGGCGCCCAACAATACGAATGGAATCGATCTCGTGCCCAAAGCTCACCAAACCTTCCATCCTTCTGGGGTCGGCGAATTGGTACCAGATTTGTCTGGGGGGATAGAAGCACTGCTTGGATACATCGGTAGGCCACCGCGAGTCATTGCAAAGACCAGACATGAATTCAATCACCGCGAGCGATACTCAGTGAAGTCGAATGCATGGCACATTCCTCACGGATTGGTCAACGTCGAGACCTTCATCTATCTATGGTGCGATCATGCATCGTAAGTAAATATACTTGTTCCAATTTATGAATTATGCATTACAAATGCATTTTTAAGTACTCACTAGTCGCCAATTTGCGATGCAACAGTGCTCAATTCACTTCCAAGATATGCATCTATGTTCCGCATCAACATTCTAGTCACTTCTTGATCCGTAAACATACATACTGTGGCGTTCAAACAGCGATAGACCATCTGAAACCAACAAATAGACACCAACTACAGAAGTACATGTATAATCACTTTTCTGGATACCATCTGGTATTTCACGAGTTCTTCAGTATCATCATCCTCGACACAATTAAAAAGGAAGACAGTTGGCAGTGCATCATGTCCAACAAGCGGTGTATCAACACACAGATCCGATGGACCACGGAGGAAACGACCTTGAGATAGCCTAAATTTCCTACATTCGTAGAACTGACAGAAAATACAATTTCAAAGCATACCGAGACTGACAATCCAGTTCATCTCCAATCGTCATTGGTAATAGACTTTGAGTTAGATATCGAAACATACAAGGTAAATCACGACGTGATAGAGAATAGTATAAGACTTTATCCTGAAGCAAGCAAACGCCTGGTTCAGAACAAACAGGCAAAATTATGTTTATACTGGAACTTTGCTAACAGACCTGGTATAAGACAAGTAGTTTCTGAATAATGGGAAATTCTTCTAAAAGTTCAGATGACATCGTAACCACATTCAAATACGTAGGACCATCCAATCGAAGGAACGCCGCTCCGCTTAGATAATCCAAAAGGGGCATCTAAACAAACCAAAGATTAGAGCCATCAATAACACACGGTATCTTCTCACTGGATCTGAAAGGTATACCCGATGTAACTTTAGCAGTGGCAAATATCTCCCAAAGAAATACTCAAGTCGCTCAGTGAACTTCTGCTGATCATTCTTCCTGAAAAATCCTCCTAGAAACATCATTCATATCATAAGCCAGAGAATGGTGTAACTCATATAACACATCTTGCTAGAAGACTAATGGCTACGCCAGCCTTAATGGAACTACTAGGATTTGCCGATTTCATAAGTAAGTACTTTTCTTTCTTAGCCCGTCATTGACTAATCGAGAGCTGATCTCGACCAATATAAATTTTTTCCCCGGAAATATAATAAATCAAACCTGAATGGTCTGAATTTTCCGAAAAAAAGACGAAACATTTTGTAAGTATCAGTTAACACGTTCTGAATAGCAGGTAAAAAGATGGAGTATTCTGCAGCAGCGCACTGGATTCTTAATAAAGACAGGATTACTAGTGAAACGATTTGTTCGCATTTTGCAACGAAAACAAGGTGGTCACAAATGTCGTGATAAAACAAAAACAACTGGTTCATTTATTTATATGTTCTTATGAATTGATCCTGTTTACATGATGCGAGGTTGGTATAAGCTCTCGTTGTTGTTGGTCATTGGCTGACGTTTCGGCGATTTCGCCTTCCTCAGAGCCGCACTGCTACACTGCTACGAGTGGGACTGAGTGTGGAGTCTTTGAGTTACTAAAAGATTTGTTACCAAAACATTTCCGAGTCGCACTAGTAACAGCATGGTTCTGAGCAAGGCCAACCTCGCGTTTACTCAACGAGACCAATTCATAAGAACGTATAAATAAGCAGATCGATTATTTGTGCCGAGGTTCATTGAAAGTAGGCCTTTTGAGTTATCAAGAGATGAACCAGTTGCTTATTCCTACACTCACTTTGAAAGCGACAATCCAATGAGGAACTCGCAATCTTCCACTTGAATGTAGACGTGTTCGAACTTCTGCGTCAAGACTGTTCGATGAGGAAACTCAGGCTTCTCAGCATGATCATTCGGATTTACGAAATTATCGGTGAAATTCACTACGGCTTCAGCAAAACCAGTAATCTCAGTCTGGAAGAAGTTCCTGGTTAGATATTCATAAGAGAAAAGAAACATGTTCATACCTGTCGGTCCAGAGTCTCGCCTTTCGGATAGAAATACATAACACGGTTGTGCTCCTCACCCTCACATCTCCCAGATGGAGGATGAGCGACAAAGAAAAACTCAAGTACGTCTAAAGAAAAAAAACTGATAACACGGCATACACAGCTGTTCCATAACCGCCAGAATGAACTTGTGCTAATACGACTTAACTTTTACTTACTACTTATTCCTTTTTTATGGGAAGGCATAATGTGAAATATAACCACTAGGATGATGAGATATGAACAAAGCTCAGAACCTCAGGAATGCCACGGACGTTCGGTTACCCTTACAGGAGGATGCTATAGCACCGATGGAATAGAAGCATGGGGAGAAAAATGCTAAGCAAAGGCCTCGGTTGGTGAGCTGGATAAAACGTGAGCCCTCCGTAAGGATAATCGCGGGTTCGAAACCTTGAGGCTCTGACCCTCGGTATGAGCATTCTTGCGGTTGTCACACCATATTTTCTCGCAGTGAGGGTTCAACTCAACTTTCCATCTATATCTGAAGCCAATGGGGAAGAAGAAAGATCTGTGACTGCAAGAATACATTACAAATCAATAACGTTTCCCAAAAAAAAGTGGAAGATGCAAAACTCGGAACACAATGGGCTCCGAACCCGTAATTCCCGTCTCCAGGGGCCCATGCGCTAACCACTAGACCAACCAAGCCTCTTGTTTTGCATTTATCTCTCTTTTGTGTCAACATTTTCCACTCTAACATTATTTGTTCCGAAATTTTTTTTTCAAAACAGAGGTATAACATCAAACCATGGATCAACATAGTTCCCAACATACTTCTTGGTAAAGCTGGAAGCTAATTTTATCACATTCAAGTGAACCGACACTGGTGAGGAAAACAGTGGAACTGTTCATTGTACACACAAACCTTAACTTTCGATCTTTACTACTTTACTACTACCAGAGTTTTCAGTAGTAAAGTGTTCAAAACCATAGTTTACCTGGTAGATGGACCCACATCTCTGTTTGAGGTCCATTGAATGAACTCGGGGAAATAATGTACAGCGGATTAACGAAGGAACCTGATGGCATGCTCTAAGGGCTTTGTCTAGTAAATATTTTGAAAACCGTCTGTAGAGGTGCGTGAATTTCGGTGTGTCGATTACAAATTCAAAACACCATCGTTAAATTTCGTGGATCCAGAAGGTGAGTAATCTTTACAGTTTGTCGACTCAAAGTAGGTATCCTTTTATTCCCACAATACATATATAGTATAAAAAAAGAATAGATAAATAATAGATCGTGGAATATATTTACTTATGTGATCTTATAAACTGATCTTCTTAAGCTGACGCGGGGTTGGTACAGATCTTCGTTGTCGTTGTCGTTGTTTTTGATGGAATATGCACCGTAGGATATACAAGTAAACAAATAAATGCGTGTGACAAATTAACACATCCAAGGATAACATTTTTTCCGACTTTTTTTTACTTTTTACTTCGTCGCAAGTGTAGCGCAGTGTTCAGAGGCGCCCTGCATTAAACAAAGGATCGATCACCGCGCCCATGGCACACCAAGCCTTCCATCCCTTCGGGGTCGGCGAATTGGTATCAGACCTGTCTGGGAGGATAGCCCCACTGGTTCGATACATCGGTAGGCCACCGCGAGTGAAGGCCAGATATGCATTCAATACCTCTAACGATGCTATGAGTGGAATAGAATCGATGGCGCCACTGGGACTAATTACTTTACGTGTTAGAATTACTTTTAGTTTCACACATTACTTCTTATCCGGAAGCAACTAAAATTCTATCGATCATTCTCGCAGTACTTTCATTTAGGACACATGGACCCTCAGCAAAGTCCGCTTTGGGACTTTTGTGGATTTGTGAATGGCACGTCGTTTAGAACGAAGTATTTCTTCGACGAATCCACAATGACATTAACACCATGTGGAGAATTCGCTATAGTAGTCTCACAGTCACTTCCTTTATTGTTTTTTACGGTGATCAACCTGCTCCTAGTACCGGTAAGTTCACAGATCATTCCCATTCTTTCTCCTAGTCCTTTTTTGTAAAATACTTCTAAGTTTCTTAGAGCTATTAAGGTCGTATCTACTTCCTCATTTCTGGTGGTTATTTAGCCTTACTAACTCTTTGCCGCCTCATTGTGGCTGGGAGGGGTTCTTGGGGTGTCGTGCTGCGGTGTTTAGCTGGGGTATTAATCCCCCTGTAAGGTCTCCCAAGCCATGACGGAGTCCAGCTTTTCCACTGGTAAACAGCTACGAGTAAACCAATACCAAGATTTACCACAGTCCTGGTATCAAACTAGTAAACTCTTGGCGGCAAATCTCACCCTGATCCAGGAAGGCGGTGACTGGCTGTGATGGCGACGAATTGGCGTAGAGTTTGGCTAGGCTAACCTCGGGACTCCAGGGAACCACAGTGCCTAAAGTAGCAAAAGTCCGAAGAAGTGGAACTTATGCTGGGGTCCGCACAACCAGTGAAGACGTGCCATCCAAGTATCCAAGCATCCAAGATAGAAAACTAGCTGAGATAAAAGCGAAAGGAAGGGCCCGCATGGTATGGTGGTGAATGCGTTAACGCCCTGGAAGAGTAATATCATGTTCGATCCCCACCGGAAACACCTGCGGTCTGGAGTTTCGTTCCGCACCGCAAACACCTGCGGTCCGGAGTTTTGTAAATATCGGCATCATTGTGATAATAAGAAATATTTTCATATACAGTTGTATTTACAGACAGGATTTCCATCATTTACGTGTAAGGCCGTTTCCCATCTGTTCACTATGAAGATTGTGATTGGTGTCCTGACGATAATCGCGATGGCCACTTCGTTCTTGATGGCCATGTTTACTTCTCTTCACTTAAAATCCATCATTCTTATTGAGTACAGTATACTAACCCTGATCTGGGTTGTGTTTGCTTCAGCGATGACTTATTCTAGAATATATTTGAGGTATTTTTTCTTTTAATACACATGCTGTGAGTTAAGCCGTTTTTGTCGTGTTACTTCTATGGTAGAAATGAGCGGCTATAGGGCTGTGGTCAAAGATGCCCGACAGTGCACATAAAATCGATCCCTGCGCCCATGGTTCACCAAGCCTTCCATCCCTCAGGGATCGCCAATTTGGTAACAGACTTGTCTGGGAGGGTAGCAGCACTGGCGCGAGACATCGGTACGCCAGGGCGAGTCATTGTAAAAGCCAGCTGTGCATTCAGTCACCTCCAAACAATATTTAGTTAAGTCGAATGCATGGAGCATCTCTCAGGGATTGGTCAACGTCGAGTGCTCTATCCTTTCTATCCTTTTGCTTCCGTGGTTATCTTCAGTTCTAACTTAAAGTTTTATTGATACTGGAAAATCCCTGCTTTTTTTAGCCTTGTTTTCAACCTCTTGATGGCTCTCTTGATTCATAGCTTGGCTAGATATCATTGTCAGAAATAACGCGGTCGGAACATAAGTTATCTAGAAGGGTTCTAGTGGGAGTTTGAATCTGCACGGTCTGGTCTAAGCAATCTTGTACCAAAGAAGAGTAAATTTCCTAAACATTCTGTAGATATCCGATTTGGGAAGATGGTGAACCATTAATGGAAATGGGAATCACTGGGAATCACTAATGTTTCCATGACTTTCTAAGTGACTTTCACATCCATCGCCTGTATCACCTGTGGTCCCGTTGGTCGTCAATGACTCGAGCGGGCGCCGGTAAATTTTCCGTCGCGTGCAAGAGTAGCCCTGTGGGTTCTGCTGGCTCTAGCAACTCGTCGAGCATCATATCTTTCTTCTAGGCTTTTCGTGAGGAACTCTGACCATCGGGACGGCGGTCTTTTTGCAGTATGTTTGACATCCCGAGGAATCCAGTCACTAACGGCTCTTGTCCATCGGTTATCATTCATACGCATTACGTGTCCGGCCCACCTTATCTTCGACTGTTTGGCGTACAGAACGGCATCTTTGGTTTTCGATCGTTGACGCAGGTCGGAGCTTCGGATCACATCCCTTACTTGTGTAAAACGGGATACTCCTTGCATCGTCCCTTCGACTGCTCATTCGATAACGCTGAGCGATCTTTCATCCTGCTTACGCATCGACCAGGTTTCTTACGCATACGTTAGGGCAAGAAGCACCGTTGAGTTGAAAAGGTGAGCACGGACTCGGGTGTTCTTTGTCCTGTTCACTACATCCTCGATACTCTTGAAAGCTCCCCAGGCTGTTCGTTTCCTTCTGCTCAACTTTGGAGCTACGTCGTTCAACATGTTGATTTCCCGACCTAGATAGACATAACTGGAGCATTCGGAGATATTCGTTCCGTTGAGGCTTAATGGGGCATACGAAACCAATGCATTCCTTAAAAACATCGTTTCTGTGAGGTTTAGTCGAAGACCAATCTTTCCACAGTCATTATCAAAGTCGGCATGCATACATTCTGCTAGGCTAATGTCTGGTGTCATAAGGACGATGTCATCAGCAAAGCGAAGATGATATAACTGGCGACCATCGATTTCACTTCTATATTATCCCATTCCAATGTTCGCATGTCGTTATGGAGGGTGGTCGTAAATAATTTTGGCGAGATGGTATCGCCTTGCTTGACTCCTCTTTTGACGTTAATGTTAATATCGTTGTAGAATGGTGATATCTTGGTTGTGAAATTTTTGTACAGCTCACCAAGAAACTTTATGTACTGAGTAGAGACTACTTGACTATCAAGGGCTTCCCAGACTGCTTCCATTTCAGCTAAATCAAAGGTCTTCTGCAAATCGATAAATGTGAGACGGAGCGGTCTTTTGTACTCTCGCGATACTTCAATGAGCCGTGTTGACGTGTGAATGTGGTCCATCGTACTAAATCCTTTCCGAAACACTGCTCGCTCACATGGCTGTCTTTCATCCAGCGTTTTGTCAATACTGTTTAGGATGACTCGAGTTAAAAGCTTGTAGAGGACAGACAGTAAGCAGATTGGGCGATAGTTGCTGATATCACGTAGGTCACCATTCTTGAACAATAACACGGTCTTGTTGGTCTTCCACTGAGTAGAGACCATGCATTCGGACAGGTAACGTGTGAAGAGCAGAGCAAGTGTGTTTACGAGGACTGGCGGAAGGTTCTTCAGGTGTTTTAATCTTATTCTGACCGGACCTGATGCTGTTCGTTATTTTACCGACGAAATGCCGGATTTCGGAAGGAAAAACCCGTGGCTCAACATATCCATCCTTCTTTATCTCATATTACGGAAGGTGGACTTGGCTATCAAAGAGATCTGAGTAGTATTCGTGAATGACTTGCTCCATTGCCTTCCTGGACGCTGTAACTGTCCCGTCTGGGCGTCAGAGTGCAATCATCTTGATCTTGTAATTGGCGAGGCTTCCGTTGGCTTTGCGAGTGCTTTCCCCAGCCTCTGCATCGTCGACCAGTACTGCTGCTCTTCTCTCTTTAGGATCTTCTTTTATCGCCTGTCTGCGTTCTTTTGCAAGTTCGGACGTTAGTCTTGCAGCTCGTGCGATTCCACGCTGGCGTATCAGCTGGAGTGTTTCTGGAGACAAACGTCTCTTGGTGACTTTCGAACTCAGTTTTCATAGCGCTAGCGTGAAAATGTTGAATGAGCCGATCGTCGGTGTTATCGACAATGGCATCTTCTCAACTGCCGTCTAATGAATTGAGTAAGTCCCAGTTTGCGGTGGTTCTGGGACCTCGGTTTTGGAATTTAGCGGCTTTTTCTCCTTTCCACGAGAAATAGAATCTAGTACGAAGGAGACGATGATCTGATCCCTTGTAGAACTTTGGGACAACAGCGACATCGGTTAGGTAAAACCTATTTATTATGATGTGGTATATTTCGTTATTGTACTCTCCATTGGGAGACTCCCACGTCCAGCGCTGAAGGTAGGGTTTCTGGAATTGCGAGTTACCATGGATTGTCTTCGTCGAGATGATAAACTCAGACAGCCGCTCACCCTGCTCGTTCCATTCTAATCCGTGGGTCCCAATCTGTCGTTCTT